AGTAAAGACTTGTGTCGTCAAAGTTTCATCGGAACAAAGTTACGGAAAAATCAATTAACAAACGGAAACGTAACAGTATGCCTAGAATTGCTGGTTTCCCAATTCATTTATACACTTTACACCGGTCGATGTGGGTAATAATGAACATTAGGTAATTTCTGACGTCTTGGTTTATTTTAATTACATTAAGTACGCTTAAAATGTAGGTCAAAAAGAACTGTCTGTGTTTCGAATAACTGTGAAAAACAAGCTTACAGATTCAATTAATCTTTCTTGGACTAATAGTGGCTCCAAGAGTAAAGTTTCAAATGCGGAAGTCAAGGGTTGTGTTGGTGTTTCCGATATCATCAATAGACATTTTAGTTAAGTGACATCATAGCCTTAGTTCGACCTAAACCGTAAATCTATTCAAAACGACGAGAACTATGCTTGTTTTTGTTTCGTTGTTTACAGGTATTTTGTTGTTGCTTTCATTTACATTAAGAGATTGTTGTACATGGACATCAGCTTTTATTTTTAACGTAAAAACACTTTGTATGCTTGATTCTTTATTGCTGTATACACAAAGGTGAAATTCTCAACAACAAGAAAAAGTGTGTAAATTGTAATATAATTTATTAAAACACAAATAGATACAGGCATTGATTTGGTGCTAGTAAAGAAAGAAATGCATACTAAACAGGCAACTAAATTTAAAAAAATAATTAGTAATTATAATCTATCTCAGATGTCTTTATTTTATTTTTGCTTTTCATTCTGTTGAATGACAAAACGACATTATATCAAGGGCTGTATCGATGACACGCATCAACCAATAAAACGCTTCATTTGGATACATTAATCATTATTGACCAATCATATAAATTACATAGCCAGATGAGACCACCTGATTGCTTTAATAATAATTTACATCGAAGTTGCTAAATAACTTCTCATCATGATCTTGTTGCCAAAAAGACCTAATTACTTTAGGCCTTTTATTGTTTCATTTGAATAATGTTTAATAATTGTTTAGATTCTCTAAGTAGTGACGTTTCTCCTGATAGTACGATGGAAGGCATGCAGGTTGGGGGAAAAGCAGTACCGACGGAATTTCATCTAAGTGTGTGTACATAATGATAATAAAAACATAACAAATAACAAGCAAGATTTATTTCATTGCATTTATATGTACTATGCGAAAAGTAACTAAAACTGGAGTCTAATTTACTCTATCAAATTCATAAAATAACGTGGCGCGTGTTGGCCCTGTGGTAGAGCTCTGAATTTCGAGACTGGCAAGCCGGGTTTAGAGTCGTTCGATACCATAAAATATTCCTCCATTTTAGGCTCTGGATGGATTGTAAAAGTGACAGTCAATCCCTTAGCGTGAATAGTGCTGCTAATTGGCTGCCTTCATTCTGGTCAATAGTTCACAATTAGGGACGTTTGCAGATAGTGCTGCTAATTGGCTGCCTTCATTCTAGTCAATAGTTCACAATTAGGGACGTTTGCAAATAGTGCTGCTAATTGGCTGCCTTCGTTCTGGTCAATAGTTCACAATTACAGACGTCTGCATATAGTGCTGCTAATTGGCTGCCTTCGTTCTGGTCAATCGTTTACAATTAGGGACGTTTGCAGTTTTAGTAGCTTTGCCACAAATATATGAAATAGCGTTAGTTATTTCTCATGTCTTGGGTTTGTTCTCCTTCCTGTTTATTTATTTATTTCTGGTCTTATAAAGAGGGTAAAAGAACACTGTAAATCTGCTTTTATGTAGTTTATTTTTAAATTATCTTTTGCTAAAAATTTTAACAACAAGCATATAAGTGCTTAGTTATCACCAATCCTCTGTTCGTGACATTAACAAATATGAACCTAAAATTTAATTCGCCCGGTTAAAAGCTCTTAAAAGCAGTATTTCATGAAATAAACTTTATTTCAAATGCACCCATTTATTTATGTTACCACAAAGAGTGTTATAAGTACTTGTTTGTTTGTTATTTTAATTTACAGATTCATCAAGAAACGAAGTAGTGATCTAATGTTGAATGTAATACAACCAGTTTCTTTCGCTTTATATTAACTTCTGGGTTTTTATGTAAATGTTGGTCATTAGAACTGATTTTTATCAACAGCGTTTCCCGGATGGATAATATGTAACTTATTGTTTCAATGAAGCAAGATATATTACATCTGAAACTGGAATATTTAATCTGAATAGCACCGTAAAGTTATATCAATCCCTAATTTTCAGTTACTGACCAAAGGGAAGACAGCCAGTCAAGCATCCTTGCTGCTATAAGGGCTTTGTCCGGATCTTTGAACCAGATAATTGCCATCTTTTATAACATGTTCACAACTAAAAAGTGCGAATTCCAATACATCTCGTCTCGAACCAAGGACCTGTCGATCCGCAGCTCGGCACGCTTACTACTAGGCCACGTCAAGCCTACTAAATCTGTATTCAATAAATAAATTTTGTGTTATTAATCCTTGCCCCAGTTATGATTTGTAACTGACACATATAACATTGTGACTCATATAACATTGATAAAAGTTACACTTCACTTACTTGATCTATTTTACTCCATAACAATTGTTGTTCATGCAATTTGATAATATAAATAGCGTCTCAATCACTGTTGTGTCTGTCATATCCCTGATGGGCTCTGGTATTGGGCAAAAAGCCTCGTCGGCACTGAATATAACAGATGTAGCGTCTTTTACATATTTTTTATTTCTTCTTTACTTTCAGTTTTAAGTTCTTAAAACTAATAATGTAATCTTCTCAGTTGACGCAGTTTGCTTGATTCGCGCCTGGAACTCGAAGACTAGCCTGGTAGTTTGCTATTTCTTCTGTATGACGAGTAATGTTAATTTAAGTAAGATTTGATAATGATAATAAATAAATGATGTTAAAATAGATAATATTGTGTTATTAATACTTACCCTGTTTCTGACCTGTAAATGACTCATGTAAAATTGATAAGCATCACACTTCAACCTCTTAATCTAGTTCACACCATACCAGTTGTTATTCACACAATTTGGTGACTTCTTCTGGTCTTTGTCGGTGTTTGGTCGTTGTGAGCGACCTGCAAGGTTAGGGCGCTCGACTCGCAATCTGTGGGTCGCGGGTTCGAATCCCCGTCACACCAAACATGCTCGCCCTTTCAGCCGTGGGAGCGTTATAATGTGACGGTCAATCCCACTTTTCGTTGGTAAAAGAGTAGCCCAAGAGTTGGCGGTGGGTGGTGATGACTAGCTGCCTTCCCTCTAGTCTTAGGGACGGCTAGCGCAGATAGCCCTCGTGTAGCTTTGCGCGAAATTCAAAAAACAATACAAAAAACAAAAAACTTGCGGGATATTAATTGGTTGAACATTTTCTTGAGTTGTACTTGTGTTTGATTGGTGTACAGTAGCTTTCATGGGTTGAGACTGTATCTGTTTTGTTGGCTTGGGTGTTTCTTGACCATGTGAGTGTGCGTACATCTTGCTTCTGCGTATGATAGAAATGATGAAGGCTGTGATTAGGGGATATGGCGTTGGTATCGGCAGTAATTCTGTTTTTCTGGTTGATTTTAGTGCGTTTACTTCCATGTATTGTGTATTTGTTTCAGTGGGTTTACAATTATTGTGTGTGTTATAAATTTTTGTTTTTATGTCTTTATATTTAGGACATCCTTTATAATTTGCTGTTTGCAGTTACAGCACAGTGGTGACAGTATTATTTGATTTGGTTTGAATTTCGCGCAAAGCTACAAGATGGCTATCTGCACTAACCGTCCTTAATTTAGCAGTGATAGATTAGGAGGAAGGCAGCTAGTCAACATCACCCACCGCTAATCTTGAGCTATCGTTTTACCAACAAATAGTGAGATTGACCATCACATTATAATGCCCCAAAGCTGAAAGGGCGAGCATGCTCGATAACAGGGAATGGAACCCGCGACCCGCAGATTACGAGTTGAGCACATTAATCACCAAGCCATGCCAGGCCTAATATTGTAAGCTATGTTTTTAATGTTTTAGCTTTGATGTTTGCTGGCGGGTAGGGTGTTATGATATGGAAAATTCTTATAGTGAGTAGAAGAAGAGTACGATATAAATAAAAATAAAGTGAAGCAGTAAATCAATAAGCACTTAATATGTAATCAAAGAGCGATTCAGTTCAGTGTTAGTAGTAGTATTTATCACGTTTACCTAGTCATTTGGTGAGTTAGTGTGTTTATTTATCGTTCGATTATCTTTGCGAGAAACACTGTTTGTAGCAATAAAAAGTTATTGAAGAAATAAATTAATTTGTTATCCTTACGTGTACTGGAATTAGCATTGTTTTTACCAAATAATCCAAATGAAACCCTCCAACGACAGAACATGTTACAACAATATAAATAACGCATTAACCACTACTGTATCGGTCGTATTCAAAACGACCTGATGAACCCTGATATTGGACAAAAGGCCTCGTCGGCACTGAATATAGCAGATATAGTGTGATTGATATATTATTAAGCTTTTTTTTCTTTCACTCATCAATTCTTAAAGTTTACAACTGTACTTTGGTGAAAGATTGTCCATCGTCACGATGAGTGCCCTGTTTTACACTAATGTTGTTTAAATGATGATCCTGTTTCCTTGTTTTTTACCTTATGCTTTAATGTCATTTGTTGATTTTGACAGCTGTTCTTCTTACGTCAGACTGTTCTTCTCATGTGTTGGTAAGTAGAAATAGTTATTATTTGATATATATTTGTGTAGCATCTATCGACAATTGTAAAAAATAGGGGCGCGTATCTCATCATAGTAGTTGATACGATACATATCTAGATACAGAAGTTTTACCAACGGTTTGTTACAAAGTTTGACAGTCTTGTCTGTAATTTATTATCTATATTACTAACATTGTCTTATTTAAGTACTTCACACTTTACAGTGCTTTTTTCAAATTTTCAAGTTTGATCAACTAAATGGCAACTGGCAAGAAAAAATAAAATAGAAAAGTAAATATCTGTCT